AGAGAATTATCAAGATAATAATTGTTATAATATTTTAATATCCTGTCATATGTTGATGAAAAACTGAATTATGCAGGTCTAAATATCACATCAGTACTGCCAACTTTTAAGTTCTAAGTTAATTATTATTTTATTTTATGAGCCTGACATCAAATGTAACAGTGTACTGAAATCTGTAACGTGCATTGTACAAGTACATGGACTACAGTTAGTGTTCCTAATGACAAACATCTTGTGTTTTCACTCTAAACACAAGGAGTTTATGATAAAGCAGAGCTCCTGTTTACATCTGTAGATGTGTTTGAATGTGGCCATCAGGATTAACTGATGCCACATCTGTGCTGTCATCTGTCTCAGTCTATTGAAGGAGAGGTCAGAGGTCAAATGTGACATGGTGTTTTACATTTTTGGCAGTTGGCAACTCATTTAATTAGAGCATATAGTTGTACTGCCCTCTAGTGGAAGAGAATGTAATTGTTCTGCCCGTGACTCGTGCCGGACGCTTCGAGTACTAATCAGGTGGAACCAGATAATTTTCCATAGCACACTTGATCATTTCTCATGGTACACTTATGTGCTGCGGCACAGTGGTTGGGAAACACTGCTCTAAGTTATGAGGATTTTTGTCAGTTCTACACTCCAACAAGGTTTTATCAGAACTCATTCGAAACCTTTCAAGCTATCATGTTTACAGACAGAACGGCACACATGCACACACACCCTATTAAAAAACATGACCTCCTTTCCAGAGGTAATCATGTTTATCTTCTATACACAGTAACTGAGACACCACGATGTTACTATTAATGAATCTCTGATAATATATGACTGTATTTTAAATTATACAAACTTTATTTTCAACAAATTCAAAGTATTTATTCTACAATTACAACATTAAAATCAAAAGTTGGCTAATTTTCTGTTTAATCAGCTAAATCACTGGTTCTCAGGTTACTAAAGGGGGGCAAATCCCAAAGTCTCGTGTGGAGGTGGGTAATATATCACTGAGATATGAAAATATAGAAAAAAAAGCATTGAGTTTTAAAATGGTTGCAGGTAGCAGCATTTATAACTGTAGTGCTACCGTCATCAATGTCAGACTACTTAAACTGAAGTGTGAATCTAACAAAAGAAGACGTAAGTTCAAAAGTAGCGCAGGTAGTATTTTCCCTGGAATTTTCAAATAAAGTATAAAAAACTTTTAAAACTGTTATTAATAAATCAAAAAATATAAAAATAAAAAATATTTTCTATCTGGGGCAATTTATCGTGTCAGGATTTTAACCAACTACTTAAAGTCCTGCTTTTCCATCATGTTACTGCATCATTAATTTCCACACATTGTTTGCTCCTCCTGTTATATACAGTCTAACTAGCAAGTGCAGCTAGTGACTGCTCCTGTCTCCTCATGTGTCTTCATAGCCTCGTTCTACTCAACGGAGTGTTTTCCACTTTTTACAAACAGATTTCTTGCATGTTTTCTCCTGTGTTTGCTGTAGGCTGCTGAAGTAGCTCCATTTTTAGTTACTAAATCATCATTGAAACACTGCTCTTACATTTAGACATGCATGGTTTTGACTCCTTGTCATAAACACTAGGAAACAAACACATAATGTTGCTATAGCAACACACAGTATATAGTGTAATACCGGTATTATTGCAGATGATATGATGTGGCACAGCCCTAGTCCCAAGTATATGAGAGATTCCATTAAGACATTGATGATCAATAACTGAATATATTAAACACTTTTAGAGTGATTTTATTATAAATTATGACCTACACTTTCCAAGCCGTGCAGTTCACACCGTCCTTGGAAAAGAAGCCTGGCTGACAGTCTTCACACACTGTGTCACTTCTGCTGGTCCCTGAAAGAAACACATTTGTTGTTACACAAAAAAAATTCTAATTTATCAGCTCATCTAAATAGTCTTAGACTTTAATTTTTCTTACCAGGTTCTTTTATCCTCTGACCAGCTGCACACTGTGAATGTTTCTCTGTCAAACTACATCCGTTACTGTCTATCAAATCTTTACAGTGATATCCATTTAAAACGTCACACACTGTGTCAGTTGTTGCTGTACAGTCCCGCTTGACAAAAAGACCATGGCCTAAAAAAAACAAAACAAAAACATTAGTGTAAAAATATTCTGTAATTTACTTTTAAATGAAAGATTTATTTTTTTAATTTAAAATTTACAAAGGATTTCCCATCTCACTGTACCTGTGTCACAGGATGTGCAGGGGAAACAGGTAGACAGGCCGTTGGGTTGGTTCATGAAAGTCCCTAGGTCACAGAAACGGCACCGAGTTCCTGAATATGCTGTGTAGTCTCTCTGAACAACTCTACCTGTTCAACACAGCACAACATTTATGTCAGACTTTCACCATTTATCCCAGAGTGAACCTAAAGTAGTGTTGTAGTGTTGGGGTGTCTTTACGGTAGGTCAAGCAGCTTGGAAATCACAAGTGAATTGAGCGATACAACATTACTGATCTGCAAATTCAATGTGCCCCTTTTTCCTGACCCAGTACAGTAAAACATGTAATAAACACATTGGTCCACTGTGTCCATTTCATGCTTGGCCTCTCCAAAGTGTGAAATGGACACATGCAGTTCCAGCAACCTGAAGTAACAGCATAGGGATATTTCACTTCAAGCCAACAAGGAAACAATCACAGGAAAGTGTGTAAACAGACATTGTTAACACATTTACATGTAAAGACATACTATCCATCTTGCTTAATTGTTTTAAGAACCCTGGAATGTACTTCATATGTTGCTTGCTCACTACCGACTTCTTGCCTTTACATATTTTGTCTCCCGTTGCTGGTAATGCAACTTGTGCTTCATTTTACTGCTTCTGGAAAACATTTTTTGAACTGTGTCAGTTCTAAGTATCAATAAATTTATCTGACTGTTGGAAGAAAAAAAAATGAAGACAACAGGTTTTCTGGGTCAATAACACATAAAACACACATATTTCTCCTTTTATGTTTGACTGAGATGCAGGAAGTAATTATTAATTACTTAAATGCAACATAAAATATCTAATGATTTAATGATAACATTTAACACAAATGTTTAAAACTTTTACAATAAAAACAAGGTTGTCATCTGTATAAGCAAACCCTTCATTTCATGTTAGAAACACTTCTGTCTATCGTGTCATTTAAAAAACGAAGTCAAGCAAAGATCAAATATTAAAGTCATGTCCTCTTTATTTATCTGTGGTTTGTTTAGTTTTTTTTCTTTCTTCTATAAAGCTATTATGTTTCAGAATGACCTGCTTTCAGGTTTGTACACATTTCTGTCAAAACAATAGTTTACACATGTACACGTGTGCATACTTTATTAGAAGAGAAAAAAAACTCTTCCTTGCTGGTTCCATCGAAGAACAAATGCTCAAGTAACTATGTAGCACATACGTAATCCAATTCTACAACCAATGTGATGGGGGAATCTGCTGTGTTTTGCTGCCCATTTTATTTCGAATCTGGCGCGAACCGGCGAGACAGTTCTTGAATCAGTTACATGGTACAGACTGCCCGCGAGGCCTCAAACATCATTGCATACCAGGGGCGGATCTAGAAGGCTGGCATGGGGTGGCAAGTGCCACCCTAAAATGATCCCTTGCCACCCCAAGTGCCACCCCAGTTTTGCATATGACAGTGTTGTTTATTAAAATAAGATAGCATTAACAGTTTGAGCGTAGTTACAGTCAACAGTGACTATAAATGCTAAAACTGAATATATTGGATATTGTTCCCCCCCCTGCACCATTAACAAATGGTTCTGATTGTGCCAGAGGACATTTTGAACAACATCATGGGAATTTCGTATTTTACACAGGTGGTTGGATGTTAAAGTCTGGAAATGGAAGGAAGGTGAGTGTTATTAACCCTCTGTGGTCCACAGACACGCTGCACCTGCAAATCACATGACTGATGTAAGCTGACATAGCAACAAGCTGCAGCCACGCTGACTCTCTATTTCAGCCCACATTGAAAGTTCAGACTTTAAAGTTTTTAAATTTTAATTACAGGCCAGTAAATCCAGAGTGGTGATAATATATATAACCCATGCTTTTTTCTAAATACTGTCGTCACGTTTGTGTGTGTGTGTGTGTGTGTGTGTTTTAAGCCTTTTCTAAGGAAAGCGCGAAAACAGTAAAGAAAGGGAAAAAGCCACCTCTTTCCTATCGGTGGAAAAATGCACCATGTCAACCAATTAAAAAAAAGTCAACATGTGGGATTTGTTTGTTTAGGAAGAGGGAAAAGTTTTGGGAGTGATGGTAATGGCAGCGAGACAGAGCGAGGGAGTGAGAGAGAGGGAGTGAGAGAGATAGAGAGAGAGAGCTTAGATGTGGGAGATTTGTGACATTTAGTGTGGAGTGGATTCTTAGTGTGTTGTGTTGTCTTGTGTAGTTGTTCTGTTGTGTAGTCGTTTTGTTTTGTGTGTCAGTGAGGGCACTAATGAATGTCACAAAGGCACATTTG